TTTTTTTAATGTTTAAATTGTGATTTTAATAAAAGTTACAGAAAAGTTGGATTTTTATTCACTAATTTTTCTACCTACCCCTGACACAGTTCATGTTGTGTTTAAAAAAAAAAAATCACTATTGCACAATTTCCTCCCTATCCCAGTCCACTTTGCTTTACACCTCTTATTCTGGACTAATTTAATACAAACAACGTCTAATCATTTATTACTTTTAAACAGTTCTTTCCTTTATGTATCTCAATGCAGTGTTCATGATTTATGCCCTCTTTTCTTAGTTTCCCCCAACCTTCATTACAGTCTGGTTTTATAACAGTGGTATTATTCAGTATTTGTTCTTTTGTAACTGAAGAAACCAAACTTTGACTTTGAGTGTATCCCATGTGAATTTCAAAACCACCTCAGGAATAGGTTTGAAGCCTTGGACACTAATGAGCGAAGACCAGATGAGCTATGGGATGATATCAAGAACATCATCCAGGAAGAACGCAAAATGTCATTACAAAGACAGAAGAAGAAGAAAAGACCAAAATGGATGTCAGAAGAGACCCTGAATATTACACTAGAGCACCGAGAAGCCAAAGCAAAGGAAAGAAATCAAGAAGTTAATGTTAACAGAAGATTTCAAAGGCAGAGCGGGAAGACAAAACAAAGTACTATAATGAATGTGCAAAGAGCTGGAGTCAAAATCCAAACAGCCAAACTTGTTCTGCATTTAAGCTAAAGGAAACTGAAGAAGAATTCAAGCTTCAAGTTACAATACTTAAGGATTATTAGGGTAGAATATTGAATGATTCAGGAAGCATTAAAAGAAGATGGAAGGAGTACACAGAGTCAGTGTCCCAAAAAGAATTGGCTGACACAGAAGAATTGTAAGAAGTAACATATGATCAAGAGGCAGTGGTGATGAAGGAGGAAGTTCAGACTGCTCTGATAAAGTTGGAAAAAAACAAGGTCCCCGGAAATGATGGAATACCAACTGACATATTTCAAAAACAGATGCTACCCTGGATGTGCTCAGCAGGTTGTGCCAAGAAATCTGGAGAACAACTACCTGGCCAACTAACTGGAAGAGATCCATATTCATTCCCATTCCCATTTCAAAAAATGGTGGTCCAACAGAAAATAGAAATCATTGAACAATATCACTAATACACACACAAGAAAAATCCTACTGAAGATTATCCGAAAATTACCAGAACAGCTGGATATAGAGGAGGTCATGGTACTAGAGACATGGATCTTGGTTGAAAGCAGAGAGTTCCAGAGGAACATCTATATGTATTTCATTGGCTGTGCAAAGGCATTTGACTGTGTAGATCACAGCAAATTATGGCTAACCTTGAGGAAAATGGGAATCCCAGAACACTTGATTGTGCTTATGTGAAAACTATGCTTGGACCAGGAGGCAGTCATCAGAAAAGAGCAAGGAATCACTGTATGGTTCAAAATTAGGAATGATGTATGTCAGGGATGAGTCCTGCCTCCGTACATTTTCAATCTATTTGCAGAACAGATCATACCTACTGTAGTGGTTCAAAGAAGGAATGGGACTTGAACCAGTGACCAGAGTGATGTGTACATGTGCCGCATCCTATAATGGGTCTTGACACTACTTCCCAGATTCCCTAGTACCGGAGTTGATCCTGATATTTTGCTATGTGCAAATCTGCAGTCATCAGAAGCTGTACTAATGCTGTACCTTGCTTTTACTCTTGAAAACTATCCTTCCCTGAAAGAAAAGCTCTTCAAAAACTGAGCATTTGTTACTCAGAGAGAGATGCTTATGTTCCTGCCAGCAACTCCCTGCAAGGCTTTCTTAGTCTCTAATAAACTATTTGATGCAGCTCCTGGTCTTCTTAATTACTTCATATGCGTCAGAGAGCTGGACATTAACTACGAATGATAAAAGACTTTGAGTTGTGGTGCTGGAGAAGAGTCTTGAACATACCATGGACTGCCAAGAGAACAAACAAGTCTGTCTTGGAGAGGATGAAACCAAGTTTCTTCTTTGAAGCTCAGATTTTGAAGCTCCATTTTACATATTTTGGGCATGTTGGCTTGAGGAACAGGTCCTCCTTGGAGAAAGACATCCTGGTCCTCCTTGGAGAGGGACATCATGCTTGGAAGGGTAGCGGGACAGTGCAGGAGAGGAAGATCCTGGATGAGACAGACTGACACAGTAAATGGGGTAGTAAGGGTAGGAATGTCAGAGTCAATGAGACTGGCTCAGGCTAGGACAGGGTTCAGCACTATTGTATACAAGGTCACTATGAGTTGCAGGTACTTGATGGCACATAGTAACAACAGTAAATCTCTATTTTCCCTCTGAGGCGGGGGGCTGGGGGGGGGGAAGGCAGGTAAGCAGGAAGAGACAGAAATTATGGGAGTGGGAAACAATCCAGGGGCTGACTTCTTAGTGCTGGAACAAGCTGTTTGGTTCTGAGGTGGGTCAAGTTGGTGACCATCAGAGGCCACTTCCAGAACCTGAAGTTGAAGAGAGCTGGCAAGTGTGCGCACTCACAGTGATCACCTGCCTCGATCAACAAGGAGACAGGCTGAGCTTGGGTGTGCTCCTTTACCACTGTCCACCCGGCACGCAAGGATAGTGAGCAAGAAAGAGGTTCTGGCTTGTGGATCAGGGAGTCAGGAGGTCCCACAGCCCTGTGTGGAGGCACCAAGCGGTCTGGAACACAGAAGCATGGATGCCTGAGTCTGATTGGATCTAACCCCTGACATCTGGGAATGAGCCGACCAGAACCCAACCAGAGGAAGAGAAGATGGTCAGTGCTCAGAGCTAGTGCTGACCGCGCGCGGCAACCCGATGGCTGGCTCGGGACTGGATTCTGCTTGTTCCCACAGAGCACTGGTATGATCGGGACAGACAAGTCAGCACTGGACTGTCCACAGCGAGGGCATTAAGATATGAGGTTCACATGCATTCACGATGCATGTAAGATGATCACCACAACATACAAGAACGGAATACAATGTAAATGAAAGATTGTATAAAACACAATGTACATGCAGGAGACACACTGTCCATTAACAACTGTATGCAAACCAATAAAAACACGTCACAAAAAATTTAAAATTAAAAAGACATGACATATATGACAATTAACAACCCGGAAGAAGGTATCCATACAAAGTAAACTGGAGGCCGGAAGGAAGGGAAATGTGTCTCAGTGAATGAGTGAAAGCCCATCCTTTCTGTAAACTCTCACTAAAATTACAATCAACAAAAAAAAATCAGGGCCCAGGAATTGATGGAATACCACCAAAAGTGGGTTAGGAAACAGATGCAGTCCTGGATGTGCTTACCAGTCTCTGCCCCTGACTGGAAGGGATCCTCATTGGTTCCCATTCCTTAAAAGGCATCCAACAGAATGTGCAAATCATCAAACACATACTTGGAAAAAATTTTCCAGTATTAGAAAAATTCCACCAGTTTCTTCATGATAAAAGACAATAGAACATCAAATATTGGACTTTTAAAGCCCCTACAACGTATATTCGAGGTAGATTGACACCACAGCTTGCTCGCTGTCTTTTCCGTCCTTTCTCAGGGCTCCTCTCATCCTTCATTGCAGCATGATCTGCCCGAGAGTGTCTCATACAGCAGATTACAAAGGAGCCACGTAACCTTTAAAAATGCACTGACCAGATTCAAGGGTGAAGGGAACATGTCCACCACGTAACAAAAGCGGACACAGCACAGGAGGGACATGACCTAGACTGGTGAATAACATCCTTCAGATGAAGGAAAATAAGGGGTAAAGAGGAGCGGAATGCTAAGAAATCATCAAGGGACCGTGAAGATAGCAACTTTGTTCAATGGCACATCGAGATGTATTTATTCACTTCATTTACAGTGAACACGGAGAGTGTGTCAGGCACTGTAGCATGCCTGTTGAAAAGAACAGCTCTAGACATGCGCACGCACACACAGGCGCACGCACACACAGGCGCGCACACACACACAGGCACACGCACACACACACACAGAGGCACACACGTAGGTGCGCACACACAGGCACACACGTAGGTGCACACACACAGGCACACATGTAGGTGCACACACAGACACACACACACACAGGCACACACATGCACAGGTGCATCCACACCTTCACACACGAGACAAGTACAAAGCAGTATTCTCTGAATCAAAGTTTCAAACTTAAAAGATCAAAATTAAGGCGAGCTCTGGTGGCCTAGTGGCAAGAAGGTGTACTGCAATACCAGAGGTGCACGGTTCAAATCCACCAGGTGCTCTGCTGGAGAAGGAGGAACAATCTCCTCCTGTACCAGTCGGATCTGATTTGACGGCACACACACACACATAAAAAAATAATAAAATAATAACAAACTTTAAAAAGGTCATGAAAATAAAATTTTGAAAAAAATTATCAAAATTAAATCCTGATGTTCACAAATATTCAAGATTATTTAGTGTTCAAATTTTTCTTGTTATATATCATCAAGTCACGTGTGACTCATTCAAATATTTTTACATCGTCTACAAAACATTTCCCTCTACTTGGTATGACTGTCGATCATTCTGTATGATTAAATTCTTAATTTTTATCTTATTTCAGAATTAAGATATTTATTTAAATATTTTGAGGTTCCCTTCCTGCTTGAAATACTTTGTTAGATTATTTTCAAATGCTAATTTCACTTGCTGTTTTCTTCAATTTTCAACCCCATTATTCACACTAGAGCAATACACAGTCATGTTTGCTATTACATCTCCATATTTTTCTAAATCTCAAGTCTGTATATTACTTCATCTCTGTTAAATCTACTCTGCAAAGGCACTGAGCAGAGAGCACTTTAATTTCAGACATAAAGGCCCTGGACTGCTCCTACGACCTACCCCCTGCATGCAGTCAGGCCTGGCTTGTGCTCCTCCAGGTAAAATCTCACCAAAGCAAAGCCCAACAGATGCAAGGAACTGAGTGTAAGACCTGCCAAGGTGCCTACATGCAGTAGAGTCATACCTGGGGAGCCGAGGGGCGGAAGGCCACCTGGGTGACTGTATCTGTGTGTCCTCCCAGCCTGTGGGAAAAAGTACTTGACCTCATGTCATACAAATAGGCCTAAAAAGAGAGAAAGAACGGGGGAAGTTTGTTATGTTTTATGTTATGTTGTTACGTTATGTTTTATGTTACATTAGAAGACTCAACTGTGCCAATAAGATTTTACTCTACATTCAATCATGTGTCAGCAACAACTAACATAATTGACAAACTGCAGGAAAGCCAGAGTTTAATTTCACAAATACGTGTTGTCTCTTTCCCTTCAGGGTCTTTAGGTTTCTAAGCCATCCCAAGTTTCCTCCAGGGCCAGCAGATGGCATCAGACACGCATCTGCATTTCCAAAAGGTGAACAGACTGGCACTGAACCTTCAAGTCTCAACTGGAGTGGAAAAGGGGTAAGACACTCTTTTCCCAGGACTCTATGAGGGAGAAGTCTATGTCTCTCCCTTCCCACTCTGGTTTAGAATGTGAGAAACTCAAGTAATTGGAATGACTCTGTATCTGCTGCTGAACTCCCACTCACAGCCACTGCATCACCTCCTACTCACAGCAACCCTCTACTGTTTCCCAAGGCTGCAACTCGCAACAGGAAGGGACTGTCCATTTCTCTCTGATGGAGCAGAGGATAGATTTGAACTACTGAAAATGAAGTCTTTTAGTTAGCAGTTGCAATACCATACCAATGAGGTCACCAAAGTTCCTACCAAAGAAAGAAAAGACCAAAATAGATGGCAGAAGAGACTCTGAAACCTGCTTTTCGATAAAAAGGATCAAACTGAAGGGAAGGCATGCTGAAGCCAGAGAGTTGAGCAAACGCTATCAAACGGCAACCCAAGAAAGCAAAGCAAGCATTATAACAAAATGGACAAAGAACTGGAATTCGAAAACTAAAAGGACAAAACACACTCATTATTGCTCAAGCTGAAAAAACTTAAAATAAAACTTCTACTTCCTAGGTTGCAATACTAAAGGAATCTGTGGGCAAAATATTGAATGATGCAGGAAACATCAATAGAAGAAGAAATAGGAGGGATATTTTCTGAAAAATAATGTATTCAAATTTTATAAATAAATCAGAATAAAAATTTTATAAAAAGAAAGAAAAAAGAAGATGGAAGGCATACAGAGTCATTATATCACAAAGAACTTATTACTCCACCAAAACATTCTGGGAAGTCACTTGTGAACCAGAACCAACAGCCCTGAAGGAAGAAGTCCAAGGTGTGATGAATATGATGACGATAAAGACAAAAATATAAAAGCCAACAAATGTTGGGATTTCGCACGAGGTGTTTCCATGTCAGATGCAGCCCCGGACATGCTGCAGGAAATTTTCATGCCAAGAAATCTGGAAGACAGCCACTTGGCCAACTGACCAAAAGAGATCTGTATTTGTTTCCATTTTTAAAAAGTGATGCAACAAAATGCAGAAATCTTTGAAGAACATCATTAATATCACACATAAGTGAAATCTTGCTGAAGATATTTTAAAATTGGCTGGAACAGCAGATACATCAACAGAGAACTACCAGAAATTAAAGCTGAACTTAGAAGAGGCCATGACATAAGGGATATTATTGCTGATATCAGATGGGTTTTACAGAAATTAGAGAATACGAGACAGATATGTACTTGGTGTTTTATTGACTATGTAAAGGCATTTAAAGGTGTGGATCATAAATTATGAATAACACTGAGGAGAATGGGAATTTTTGAACAGAGAATTGCACTAGTGTGAAATTTGCACATAAACCCAGAAGCAACTGCTTTAACAGAATGAGGAGACACTGCATGGCTTAAAATAAGGAAAGGTGCGACTCAGCTGTACCCTTTCTCTATATTACTTAATCTGCACGCTGAGCTGTGTTGACAGTGAATGTGGCATCAGGATTGAAAGAAGACTCATAAACAACCTCTGTTGTGGAAATGACATAAACTTGTGTGCAAGGTTATGCTAAGTGTTTCAAGAGAAGAAGACTTGAAGCACTTACAGAAGATTGAAGACTACAGGATTAGTCTCAACATCAATCAGACAAAAACCCTCACACCTAGATCCACAGGCAACATAATGATAGAGGAGACTCAAGCTCTTGGTGATTTCATCTTATTTGGATCCACAATCAGCGCTCCCTGAAGCAGCAATCAAGAAATCAAGACCTGTTACTGGAGAAATCCACTGCCAAGGAACCATCTAAATTGCTATAAAGCAAGCCTAAGGCACTCCTGAACGAAACCATAGTATTTTCAATTGTTTTCTGCACATCAGAAAATTGGACAACAAATAAGGATGACAGAAGAAGAATAAATGTCTTTGAATTGTGATGCTGAAAACATCACAAAACTGAATATCTTTTTTTAAAAAAAGACTGTTAAAAGAACAAGGATTCTGTCATGGAGCCAGCGAAACCAGCGTGCTCCTTAGAGGCCAGGATGGTGAAACTTTGCCTGTGGGCTTGTCAGGAAGTGAAGGTCTAGGAAGAAGACATCGTGCTGGGAAAGGTCAGCGAAAGAGCGAAGAGCCCTGACGGAAATGAAGGAACTAGTGAGCCTGGCAACAGTGGGCCAAGCTGGGCAGAGACCCTGATGACGGCGAATGGTAAGCAGGAGTTCCATCCCTGGTTCACAGCATCCTCTAAAGGACACCCAGCACCACCACTCCCCAGGAAGCTCCCTTTCCATGGACTGCTTCACAGCAGACCTCACCAAGCAGTCAGGGCCCATCAACGGAATGCTTGCATTCCGTCAGTGTCACCAGCGGAATGGGCACATTGGAACCGAGCCCAAACCACAGAACCCCGGGCAGCCAGGCCCGACATCCACCCTTAATCAGCACCAAAAGATGCTGAGAGCTGCTGGTGGCTGCAAGGAGATGGTTGTGAGGCTGAGGACAGACCCGCACAGGCTCAGAAGGAACCACTGTGCACAGCTTGCTGTCAGACTCCCATGCACACGGTGGGAACATCGGCCAGCATCCCCGGGAAGGAGCACTCCTCCACGGACGTGACATGGGGACAGGCCTCCTTCAGTGCCCACCTTCTGTGCAGGCAGATGTGCATATGATGTGACGTGTATATTCACAAGGCTGTGGGCAGACCATCTCATTAGCTATTCCTAAAGGTCTAACCAGGAAGAGAAACACCCTGACTGCAAAGACATGACAGAATATTTATTAATATTCTTAGACTTCAGAGAGAAGTGACAGCACCTCCAAGTGGCTTTTCCATAGTAAGCATTCAATAAACAGTTATGATAAAATAAGAAAGGAGGAAATAAATGATTGGTGCTTAAACTATTATGCTTCATGGGGGGAAAACAGAGCCTTTTGTTCTTTTACTCATAGTTATTAAAATATTACTACTGTATCTGAACCTGAGTGCTGACCAATCATCAAACCTAAGGGCCCTCATCTTAACATTCCACGGACGGCCAAGAGAACAAACAGATGTATCTTAGAAAGGGTGCAGGTGGGGTGCTCTTCAAAGGCAAGAATGATGAGACTTCACCTCACATACTTCGGGCTTGTTCCTAGGAGGGACTATTCCTTAGGGAGGGACATAATGTTGGGAAGGGTGGAAGATCGGCAAAGGAGAGGAAGACCTTCAACCAGGTGGGTTAGCATTGTGACTGCTGCGATGGGCTCTTGTGTATCAGAAAGTGTTAGGATGGTGCAGGATAGAACAGGTGCAGATCTTTTATTCATAAGGTTGCTATGAGTCATACACAACTCGACAGAACCTAACAACAACAATCTTAAGATGAATTAAGAAAGGAGTGCATCACAGCTGTATTCTCTCTTCATACCTATTCAATCTGAATGCTGAGCAAATTATTCAAGAAGCTGGACTCTATGAAGAGGAATGCGGAATCAAGATTGGAGGGAGACTCATCAATAATCTGAGTTATGCAGATGACACGATTTTCCTGACTGAAAGTGAGGAGGACTTGAAACACTTGTTGCAGAAGATCAAGAAATGCAGCTTTCAATATGGATTGCACTTCAATGTCAAGAAAATAAAGATTCTTACCACTGTACCAACAGGCAACATCATGGTAAATAGATAAGAGACTTAAACTGTTAAGGACTTCATCTTACTAGGATCCACAATCAACACCCTTGGTACCAGCAGTCAGGAAATAAGGAGCCGCACTGCACTGGGGGATCTCTCCAAATTAGTAAGGACTAATGATGTTAGTTTGAGGATTAAGGTAGGTCTGATTCAGGTCTTTCCAATCACTTGCTATGCATCTGGGAGCTGGACAATGAATAAGGATAACAGAAGAACTGGCGCCTTTGATCTGTGGTTTTGGAGAAGAGCACTGAACATTCCATGGATGGCCAGAAGAACAAACAAACACATCTTGGAGAGGGTGCAGCCAGAGAACTCAGTGGAGGCAGAGATGATGAGGCTTTGCCTCACATACTTGGGGCATGTTTCCAGAGGGACTATTCTTTAGAGAGGGTCATGATGCTTGGAAGGGTGGCGGGTCAGTGAAGGAGACTTAACTACTGACCGTGACTGCAGCAGTGGGGTCTAATGTGTCAGGAAGCGTGAGGAAGGCCCAGGACAGGACAGGGTTCAGATCTGCCGCTCACAGGGTCACTATGGGTCATACGAACTCAACAGCACCGACCTAACAATTCAAACACGCGGTCATGTCCAGAGCACACAGAACCCAAATGCCCACTCCAGGGAGGCACTCACACTTCCGTCCTCTGCCCCACAGGCCACGTGCCGGCCGCAGGCACTGAAGGTCACCCCACAGGGGTGACAGCGGTTTGCATGTCCCTCGAAGCGGCGTTCACATCTACAGAGGAGAGGGGCCAAGATGAAACATTTCACTTTTAACACAGATTGGGAGAAAGGAACCAACTAGTCTCATTTCATCATAAAAAAGGATCAAGTGGTCAGTGAAATGAAGTTATTTAAAAAATAAAAACCTCCAAAAAACATTCTTTAAAGTGTTTGAAAACTTAGAGCAACTTAATTTTCCATTCAACCACTCATGATGTTGTTGTTATGTGCCATCAAGTTGCTTGCGACTCATAGTGACCCTACGTACAAGAGTCCTCTGTTCCATCCTGTCCCAACCTCACTGTCTCTGACACACTTACTCCCACCACCCCAATCACTGAATCGATCCATCTCATAGAGGGTCTTCCTCTCCTGTGCCGTCATGTTTATTTTTATAACCGACATTGCTGTCACCACAATGCGGCCACGCTCTTCCCTTTTGCTGCGACTGTCATCTTCACGCATCCTTCTAGCCCACCGCTGTCTTTTGACCTGTAGTCCGGGCAGGCGCTGCCCTCTGAGCTCAGGGGCTGATGGGTCTAATGAGTGAGTGACTCTGCTGTGGTGTGGCTGAGGCCAGCGTGATGAGCATCAGTTTTATTTGTCACGAAACCACAGGCAGCAAGTGTAAGTGCAGCTACTTTTTGGGTTGGCAGTTTGTTCCCCACTTTTTGTCCACTTTGTCAAGGACTTCTGCTGTAAGCCTTACAGCAGTGATCAGTGAGAACGTTTTCATAATATCAAACAGATATTCCAAGACTTGGGAGAGGTGTGAAATTCTACTTGAGTGTATGAAACACAAAGTGAATGAAGGATAATGAAACACAATGTAAAAAAACTTTGAAAACAAACCCACATAAAGTATTTTTTATAAAAGGTGGTTTGCATACCTTATCTAACTATTAAGTGGGTTACATGCCATATTTAAATTGTTATTGCTGTTATGTGACATCAAGTCACTTGTGACTCATAATGACCCATGGTACAATGCTCTGAACCCTGCCCTGTCCTGAGCCAGTCTCACTGACTCTGACACACCTAATCCCATCACCCCAGTTACCGCGTCAATCCATCTCATCTGGGTTTTCCTCTCCTGTGTTGTCCCTCCATCCTTCCAATCACGATGTCCCTCTCCAAGCCCTGGTCCCTCCTGGCCACACACAAAAAGTATGTGAGATGGAGCTTCAAAATCCTAACCTCCAAGGAGAAGCTTGGTGAGTTGCATGTCATATTTAACTATCAAGGTGGGTTACATATTATATCTAACTTGTTTTTCCCTTTTTTGGTTGTTATTTGAGTGAATGTTTACAGAGAATTAGTTTCCATTCAGTAATTCCTATACATTTTATGACATTAATTGCCACTCTTACAAAGTAATCAAAATGTAACTGAATTCTTCCCCCACCCCCACTTCCTTTCTATGTATCCTTCTGGTCTACCCATTCTTGCTTCCTGAGCTTTACTGGCCCCTGGACAATGGTCCTTCTCATCTCCCTGGTGTTGCTCTTCACCCTAGAGACCCATCTGCTGTTTGGGGGAAGCTGAGTTAGAGAGGGGCTCTGCTCCAGGTTTAAAGGGGGACATCTCTCCATTCATAAAGGGATACAGAAAATGTTTGTACTCTAATGACCTTCAGGGTATGGACAGGTTTCTATGGAACCCCCTGATTAAGACAGACTAGGAGGCAGGCTGGGCCATCTACTTCCTACAACCCCTATGAACTAAACAAAGAGGACAGTTACAGTGGTGTGTGGTAGAGCCCAGAGTGGAAGTCAGCTGAAATGAGGTCGCAGTGACTGCTGCAATGGCTCCTGAGTGTCAGGAAGTGCAGATGGTGCAAGACAGGGATCAGGCCCAGTTCACAGGGTCACTATGAGTCGTACTCAACTCAATGGTACCTAACAACAACAACAATGATGACAATTTTATCACAAGAACTTTCTAAATCTATTGGGATGATCAAGGAAACTCTAATAGATCTTTCAGACAAGTATTTCCCTGCACTGGGCTAGGTGTCAGGTGGCATGCCAGACTGGCAGACTAGGGTTCTGCTCAAGATTACTTGACTGGAGGTAGCCCTTAGAGCAATAGGTACCATCTGAGCAAAGTTCAGGTGTCAGGACGGTAAGGAAGGAGGACGTCTGGAAACAGGAAACCTAGGAAGGAAGTGCAGTGAGGGCCACCATGCTGTAGGGACTGCAATCAATCACAAGGAACAAAATTTGCATGGATGGTGCAATGGAACCTTCACCCAAGTCAAAATAAAAAGCTGACTTGGGGGGGGGTACACTAGCCAGTGCAAGCCAAGGGGGTCAGCGTCTAATCGAATAGCTGGAAAGAGACTCTGTTCTGCAGTCACTGTACATCAGACCAAGATAGACTGACAGAAACAGCTGGGCAGATGGGTCGAGGTATATGATTATTACGGAAGGAGAGATGATAGGAGACAGACTGACGATATGATTAGACAGAAATATACGATGATTATGGATGGATGGATGGATAGATTCAGGTAGATCAAGAGATTGGATGATTGATGAGAGAGAGAGAGACAGACAGACAGACGGATGGCTGGATAGACAGAGCCAGGCATCTAACCACACCGTGAGCAGGTCCCTCTGGCCTCGGCTCTCAGCAGCACTGATGGGTGGGATACTCACCTCAGTGTCCTCAGGTCCCACAGCTTTATCCCATCACCCACGGCTGTGGTGAGGAAAAGATTGTAGGCATCAGGATGCTGGGCTGCAAAGGACGATCCCTGTGGAAAACAAGGTGCAAACAGGAGGGACAAGAATTGTACCAGGAAGATCTTACCTAAAATTAAACCAACTCTATCTCTCAAACTTAGGATCATTTCAGAAGTGAGTTCCAAAAATGTCTGTGTAAGTCATTACTCAATTTGCTTTTGAGTTGTGATGCTGGAGAAGAGTCTTGGATATACCATGGACTGTGAAGAGAGCAAACAGTTCTGTCTTAGAGAAGGTGAAGTCAAGTTTCTCCTGGGAGACTAGTATTTTGAGGCTCCATCTCATATACTTTGGGCACGTGGCCAGTAGGGATCAGTTCTTGGAGAAGGACATCATGCTCAGAAGGGTGGAGGGACAGTGCAGGAGAGGAAGACCCCAGATGAGATGGGTTGACACAGAACTGGAGTAATGGAGATAGGAGTGTCGGAGTCAGTGAGACTGACTCAAGACAGGGCAGGCTTCGGAACTGTTGTACACAGGGTCCCTATTAGTCGCAGGGGGCAACTCAATGGCCCATAACAACAACAATAATAACAACAGTAAGTCATCACTGGGGATAACAGACCTCAAAAGGATACATCAAGGAGAACAATGATAACAGACTCAAGTAGCTGCAAAGTGGTAAAAGATGACGAGACCAAAATGAAGGTGAACAGAGAGCCACAGTCAGTAAATCACACAAAGACATGCAGTGTCTCTCGGGATTCCCAGGTACGTTACAGCCAATTACGGTGACAGCCAGTTAACCAGTGTGACGGGCACAGGTCAGCTAAACCTTCGCAGCACATACACACAACATGCTGACCATGTGCTGACCAGGGAGCTCATGTTCTGAGCAGCAGACCCTTCTACTTTCCCCAGGATGCTGTCCAGTGTGGTGTCAGTTAAAACTCCCCGCCAAGTAGAGTTACAGAACCCTAATCCCCCCACTCAAAATGCTCTTTACAGGCCTGGGAGTTCATGATTTCTCTCTTCCATCTACTCAAACAGTAAGTATCCAAGCTAAAGGGAAATTTACTGATGTTTATTCAGTTAAGCTGAAGCATTCTGTTTGGGATACACCCCCTACACAGTGACTTCAATAATAGCAATCTGCCCACATGGGCTGCATATGAGCCTTCTTCCCACCCCTGAGCATGGCCTCTCACACCCACTTGTAAGCATGACGAGCTCACTGACAATGTGCGCACCGCTGGTGGGAGGACTACCCTTCACTGTGTGACACACCAGTTCCCAGTGTCACTCATAGTAAAAAAATGATTTCACAGGGGTTACCTGCTAATCATGGCACAGCACACCAGGCACGAGGCAGGAGAACACTAATGCACAGTTTCATGCTGGCCCAGCACACAGTTTGGTGGACAGAAAGACACAGGAATATATATGTCACATAACAATGTGGTGTGCTGACACTGAGGAGTAAGAACGCAACAGGATGAAAACAATATGTGAGTCCAAACTTTACTGTGGAGAAAGGATAATTCTTTAGAAAAGGTTGATTCTTTCAACATAAGAAAACCAATTAATGCAATTCATCACATTAACAAAGCAAAGAACAAGAACCACAAGATCCTGTCAATTGATGCAGAAAAGGCCTTTGACAAAATCCAACTCCCTTTCCTGATTAAAACACTCAACAGGATTAGAGGGGAATTTCATCAACATAGTAAAAAGTATGTACACAAACCCGAGAGCTAACATTGTTCTCCATGGAGAGAGGTTACAGGCATTCCCTTTAAGAACAGGAACGAGGCAAGGATGCCCACCATCACCTCTCTTATTCAATATTGTATTGGAAGTCTTAACGATAGCAGTAAGACAAGAGAACGAAATAAGAGGTATCCAAATTGGCAAAGAGGAGATAAAATTATCTCTCTATGCAGATGATATGATAGTATACCTAGAAAATCCTAAAGACTCAGCAAGAAAACTATTGGACACAGTGGAC